TGGGCCACAGAGCAAGACCTCATCTCAAAAAAAAAAAAAAATTGATTAAAAAAAGCAAGGAACCTAGTATTTATTGGTCTCTGCTTACTGATGATTGACCAATTCTTTTAAATATTTTTCTTTCATCCAGCCTTGACAAAGTTCCGTGAAGTACAAGGTGTTGTCCCTGTCTGTGGAGGCAACCTGCCCCACGGGGCACTTACAGGAACTGAAAGAGATGTTGCATATCAAGGACTTGGAATAGGGCCCGGTGAAGAGAGGACAGCCAGTTGGGAGCTTTCCTTTTCTGACTGACTCTCTCTCTACACATATATGTGTGTTTTCAGATGGGGTCTTGCCACGTTGCCCAGGCTGGCTTCAAACTTACGACCCTTCTGTCTCAGCTTCCTGCATAGCTGGGATTCCAGGTGTGTGTCACTGTGCCCCAGAATTAGAGAGTATTTTAAGCAACCGTATTTGGTTGTGTTTTGGATTTGGGTGAAAGGAAGATGAGAAGATAAGGAAAGGTGTTTTCTTGGATCTAATTTCTAAACGCTTGGCATTTCTCTGTGGTTAGTGTTGCTGTCACCAACACCTGGTGTCACTTTATGGCACTCCTGGGCCAACTCTTCCGTCACCTCCTTCATGACGATTGAGCCGGGCTGATCCTCAAGCCTTCTGCAGGGAGGTTGCAGAATCTGGGAGAGACTTGATAGGGCCGTGGTAGGGCAGCCCGTGGCAGCGGGAGCCCCTGCAGGAGCCTGTGTCCTCCGGCTTTTTCATTTCTTTTTGTTCCCAAATGATTGCTGTCAAGTTGGCAAAATTGGGACAACATTTTGAAGTCTCATCACTGGACTGAGATTTCTAAAACAAATTGTAAAATTCTAAATTCCATCTGTGATTGAGGCTCTTGGAGAAACTGGAAAGTGACTGTCCCACGAGACTCTGGGCATTTCCCTGAGCACGTGGGATGCTTCTCAGGTGGGTGGGGACAGAGGTGAGTTCACACCGCAGGCCTACTGAGCAGACTTCAGTGTGAGCCCCTTCCAGTGAGAATACAACTCCATCAGAAAGTGCTTTATAAAACAGTACACTTGGCAATTTTTTTTTTTAAAAGACACAAAAAAGAAGTACTTGCCTCTTGTTATTTAGTGTTAAGATGGCAACACTCAATTTTAATAGCAAATGTGGAGATAAACTTCTCTAGTAGAAAAACACAATCGCAAAGCCTTGTTAGAAAGCAAAAGCAGTTTATCTATTCCCTCTAAATACAGGCCACGCAGGATTGCACGTTAGCAAGAATAAACTCACTCAGAATACCATAAGAATGCAAGAATCTAGCAATGGCTAAGTGGACACCTGTTCCTCGGATCTGAAACCAGCAGGGTTGACTCCGGTTTGCAGGCAGGGCTGCCAAAGGCTTTCCCTGGATGACCCAGGAGGAATCCCATCCACCGTGCACGGGAGCAGAAGCAAACTCCGTTCAGCTTTCACAGACAAGGTTCGCAAGGAGCCCAAGGCCTTGCCTCCCTGATCTCCACCACCTTCAGGAAAAAAAACGGGGCACGTGGCCATGTCAATGTCACTCAGGAGACCCAGAGTGGGCTTGAGCAGCACAAGAGCTGGTGTAGAAAGCATCCTCAGTCTCTGGTGGTGACTGATCTGTTTGTGAAAATCTTCTGCTGTTTGTTGTGAGTGGCCTCCAGAGAGTGACGGAAAGATGAGCTGGGAGATGAGGAGGAAGAGGACGAGGAGCACGCCCAGCCGGCTCAGCTAGCTTTCGGCGCGTTCCAAGTCAGCTCCACACACTTGAGTGCTGATCTTTACTGATGAGACGTCCTCAGGATGTTGGGAACACAGGGACTTTTCCTGGGGAAGGCTCGCATTACTCTGCGCAGGCGAGTTGTCCGCTCTTTTTGGCTGGCAACCAGAGAGAGTGAGCTTGGCGGCTGCTGGCGGGTCTCCACCAGCTGGCTGGGCTGACCCATCTCCTCCAAGTTGGAACAGATGGGAAACCAGTGCTCATTAGCTGGTTGTTCTAATGAAGCGTCTTTTTTCTCCTGCTTAACTATGGATTAAACTGCTTCTGTCCGAGGGCATGGGAGGAGGTAGCTGTGGAGAAAGAGCGTGAACCTGGCTCATGGCCATGTGGGATTCAGAGCCTCTGCCGAGTCTCCCCCTCGAAATTGGTTCCCTGCCTCATTGTATGAAAATGCAGTTTTAAAGGGGTATCATGGAATATTCAAAAAAGGAAGTTATTTTAAAAATTTAAACATAAAGTGTTAGAGAACACTATTTTTAAAGTTTGGTAGAAGATATAGGAAGTGAACTCTAAATTTATAAAGTGTGAGACTCCCAGCTCCAAGGCAGCCCACCTTCGATCTTGACCTCACCGAGAGTACCTGGACCTCTGGGGACGTGGACACTTCTTTTATATTTTGAGGGAGGAACTATGTTGCCCCAACTGGCCTTGAACCCTGGGGCTCGAGTGATCCTTTTGCCTTCAGCCTCCCAAGTGGCTGGCATGGCTGGCATTGCCAGGCCCAGCTTCCTTGGAACCCTTCCAGTGAGGCCAGGTTGTCCTGGGAAGTGACCTGCCGCATCCCTGCCTCTCCTGGGTTCTTCTCCAGCAATTAAGAGTTACTTTATTGGTTCCAGAGGCAGCAAGGAAGCCCTGCAAATCCCAACCCTGTGACTATCTATTTCCATGTCTGACGGGGAGCCCAGAGCCATGTTGCTGGTAGCAAACTAGATTCTGTGTCTGCTCAGCTGGACCTAGAGATGTTCCATTGAAGGCTGAGAAAGAATGGACCTCTCTGGCCGTGCAGACAGCCCCTCCCAGAGGCCCTGCACGGAGAGGCTCGGGATGGATGTTCTGCCGCCTTGGAGCTGACAAGCCCTCTGAGCCGAGAGACAGGGAAGGCGCAGAGGAGAGACTTCCCCTGGGGATGGGAAGCCTGCAGAGCCACCCACTGGGGAGTTTGGGAGGGAGATTTGGGCAGTTGTTTTAATCTGCCAAAAAGTGTTTGAGCTGAAGCCAAGCTAAAAGTACATCGTCTCCGTGGAGGCCACACCCGCGCTCCTTGGTGCCCAGCGTGCCAGCTTGGCAGTGCGGCAGGAGCATGGCTAACTTAATTAATCTTGAGAACAAACCCTGGAGATGAGACTTCTGTGCCTCTGAGAAGGACGTGCCAGTGCCCTCTTCCCCAGCATGCAGTGGCCAGTACTTAGAAAGCTCACAGGATGAGCCCAGGTTGCTAATCCAGCCCTGGACGAAGCTGCCTGGGACACTGGGCAGGAAGGACTTTTTTTTTTTTAATTTAAAGAAAATTATTTTAGTTGTTGATTGACCTTTATTTATTTATATGTGGTGCTGAGAATCGAACCCAGTGCCTCACACATGCTAGGCAAGTGCTCCGCCACTGAGCCACAACCCAGCCCAGAGAGAGAGAACTTCTTTTGGGCGACTCTTGTGGAGGTGTCCTGGGGGTCAGGGAAGAGAACTGTTGCTCTCTCCTTGGTGGCTCTGAATCCCAGCTTCCCCTTGGTGTTCAGCCTATGAAGAGGCTTGGGAGTGGCTTGGGGAGGGTCTGTTTAAGATGCTGTTCTTGGTGAGGATCAATTCAAAAGTGATTTCCAGTGATTTTCTGCAAAAACATGGCCATCAACAGTGCATGTGTTTTGAGCTGGTCGAATAGTGGGGATGATTGTAGTCAACCATTTATACCCTTTTTGCCAACTTTTTTTTTTTAATCGAGGTGACCTGTCACCAAAGCTTGTGGTCTGGCATGGAGTCCTCTGGGTAAAATACTGGCACGATGTCCCTTTCCTCATTGTGGCATCATTTTAGGAAAAAAATGACTGACTTCAAATGAGCTAGTGAAACTGCAGTTCTTTCCTGTTGAAAGCCGTTGAGAATCTCTGCTTTGAAGGTCTGGCCTCAGTGATATAAAATGTGTATTGTGTGTCCATGTCTGCCACACATGTGCCTCCCCTGTGTATCACACAGGTGCTTTGCACATCTGGGCACACACAACATCTGGACACACAGAGTGTGTCCTCACATGTATGAGCATCACATGCATCCCATACCTGTGCTCTGTCGTGGTGCCAGTGCATGCTGTCATGCTTGAGTGTGTGTGAGTGTGTGTATGTGTGTGTGCGCGTGTGCGTGTGCATGTGCTAGGGAGCACAGAGGAGGATCTGAGAGGCTGAGAGCACTGTCCCTGTCTCCTGAGAAGGGGATGCTGGTCAGTGTCAAGCCTTGGTCATGTTGAGCAAGGACGATCTTGGTTTCTTGTTAGAACATCATACTCTTTGGGACAGTGTCAGCTCGCTCAGCAATGGACATCTCTGACCTGGGGCTGCCTCTGAAGCAGGGGAAGAGCTGCCCAGGAATGGCACAATGTGTCCTGTGGCACCTGGTGTGTGGCCCCGTGAGACCAGCAGTTCCCCCCAGGGCTCCGTAGTGGCCACTTTGCAATCTGTTCTTTGTAAGGAGCAGCCTCCCGTGCTAAGGCAGTCTTATTTGGTAAAACTGGCAGTCTCCAGGGCTAGGCTCACCTGGGCTTCCCTTTCTCCCTTTGGTGACCTCCACCACAAAGGGACCTTCTTTGCTGCTTAAACAATTTGGAGGTGCCTGTCACCAAATAATTGGGGTGGCCATGGCTGTGGGATGGCATTTCAGGTTTCTCTGTAAGTGGGCCTTGCATCCCATTCCCTACCGGGCTTTCCTAAGGGTCAGGGCAGTTGATCTCTAACCAGGACATTTGTTTGTTTCCAGTCCTGGCAGCCATGGGAACAGAAGCAAATCCCCCACCCCACTAGGTGCCAGTATCCAAGCCAAGAGGTCCTTTCTTCCCCTGGGCTGTCCCCTGAGTGACACAGGGAAAGGGAGAGATGGTTCAGGGAGCCTGTCTTCTTGGGCTCCACCCCCCAGAAGCTGAGCCCGTACCCTAGGCTCTCTCATGCTTAAAATCTCTGTGAACAGGAGGCAGGTGTTCGCTGGCCGGTGACCCAGGTACAGCATTGCATTTTAATGATATCACACTCACTTCTGATCTTAGGAGAATCAATAATGCTTCTAGTCGGCAGGGTTAGGTCTGGGTTAATATTTAGCTCTGTTTTTAAGCACAATCCAGATACACATGGCCCAAGACATCCACAGGGGAGCAGCTGGATGGTGTGCAGTGCTCTGTGGCTGCTGAGGAGGAAGCCACATGGCTGTGGGATGGCCAGGCTTGAGAGTGGCCTTGGGGGCTGGGGGTAAAAGCTTGTCCTTGAGATGTGAGTTGAAGGTCATTCGTTGAACTCTCTGTACTTTCTGTCCACCTTTTCTAAATCCTAAAATGGTTCTAGAAATAGTCTGTTAATTTAAAAGAAAGAAAAAGTAAGAACAGGCATGACAGCACAACGGTTCCAAGCCACAAGAGAGCGTATCACTCGGAAAGTACTTTGGGAATGAGGTGGTGCGAATTACCTGAATCAGGTAACTGAGAGCTACAAAAGTTTCCAGCTTTGAGTGGAATACAATCCCCTACTTTCTAGATGAGCTGCTGGGAAAAAAAAAAGAGAGAGAAACTCTGCCAATGAGGAGGTTCCCAGAGATTCTCACGTTATAAGCCAAACAAGCACTTAGGTAAAGGTTTGCTTTGATAGAATGTGTGATGGTAAATCCCATGTTTTTGAATCTAGCAAAAATGTGGATGAGACAAATGATTGATTGTAAGTCATTACTTATAATGCTGGGCTTGTCAGCTACCGTGATATATATATATTTTTTAATTCTTTGGTAGTACTGGGTACTTTACCAGTGAGCTACATCTCCAGCCCTTTATTTATTTATTTTTTGAGATAGGGTCTGACTAAGTTTCTGAGGCTGGCCTTGAACCTCTGATCCTCCTGCCTCAGCCTCCTGGGTCTCTGGGATGACAGGCGTGGCCACAGAGCCTGGCTGCAGCTATTGTGGTCCTGTAAGGACACACACTTCAGATACACAAACCAGGCTTTCCACCAACCTTTTGATGATTCTCTTGCCCCCTGTCTTCAACAAGGCCAAAGTTCCTGTTGTCCTGCTGCTGTAACTCCCCGTGTCCAGGCAGCCCTTGGCTTCCTCTCCAGCCCAGCCACCAGGCTGGGTGCTTCCCCAGCACTGTGCTCTCATGGGGACAGCTGGGCCTGAGGGCTTCAGCAAGCAGAGCTCATACTCCATCAAGAAGAGGAGGTCAGATTGGTATAAGCAGATGGACTTGAGGTCACTGCCAGCTCTGGAAGTCCCATCCGCCAGCCCCCGTTTTCCTCTCTGCCTGCATGCACCATCCACTGTCTAAGCCCACGTTCCAACTCCATATCCACTGTCACCCACCTCCCTGTTACTGAAACGCAAGTCAACATCGTTCAGCCCAGGCCCCAGGGTCAGCGTGTCCTTCTGAGTCCACTGGGTTTAGGCAGCGCTTAACTGCCCATGCTAGAGGAAGGTAAGGAGTGACTAGCACAACTCAGCCATCAGACACTCCACAATCGGTGGGCTGCGTTATTTCTTATTCCCTCTCAGTATATCCAGCAGGTTTATTTTCATTTGAGGCTAAAATTACATTTTTTAATTAAAATTAAGGTTAACGGTTACATGAAAAGGTTTATTTCCTCTTCTGGATAAGAGAAAATCTGAGAGCAAGTCATCCTTGAAAGAGGTCTTTTGAAAAGTGGAGAACACATTTCTGTGTAGTGGGACCTGATTACATATTGGGGTGAAATTAGAGCATGGGTCTTATAGACCCCTTCCTTTTGCTTTTGGATGACCCTCCTGTTGATGAGCCCTCCCAGGGACTGGATGTGCCTTTCATTTTGAGGTTGTTTGCGGTGGCTGCTTTGGACCCTGCCTCCTGGGGTTTCTCTGTTTGCACAGACATGGATACTATGGAATTACTCTTTTCTTCCAAACGATTTCTACCAATTCTTGCTCCCTTGGCATCATTTCCGTAAGTTAAAAAAAAACAACAACCAGCATTTATTCAAAGACATAAAATAATGGTAAAATTGTGTTTATAGTGTTTCCTTCCAAACCTCTGCTTATTTTTATTAAAAAAAAAAGTCATTCTCCATTAAGTGCGTTGCCAGGAAGCCAGCCCTGAGCTGGACTGGCTGTGAGCTTTGCCTTTAGCAAGGGTGTGGGATTTCACTGCGTCGGCGTTTTTTTTTGCAACGACTTTCTTAGTAACCTTAGTTTATAATTGCACCTCTTTTTTATTTTTGCACAAATTCATTTGTTGATCTTAACTCTTATCGAACATATTTTTCTAAGCCACGACAAGTACTTTTGGGAACTAGGTGGTGCGAAGGACATAGAATAAAGTCAGCCAGCCATCCAGGAGAGTCACAGCGGGGCTGCCAGCCCTGGGGCTGCCAGCCCTATCAGGGAGCCAGGAGAGGAAAGCTTTTTTTTAAATATGGTAAAATCTATACAAGATGTTAAGAGTGATGCTTTCCTATAAAAGCCAGACATGGTGGCATCTTGCAAACACCTGAGTGTATATTTCTTCATATTCTGGGGACAGTGCCCAGTCAATGGGAGGAGGACTGTTTCTTCTGATCACTTGTACATAGGCCCAGCTACAATTTGGGGAATAAAAACCCCTGATGGTGTGAAATGCCTGTCTACAGCAGCCCCTGGGGAAGCTCAGAGGGTCCAGAGCAGTAACGATCTGACAGTTATACACAGAGTGGGGAAAAAGGTATCAGGGCAGTGCCTGTGAGGGCCAGGGCTCCTCCAACATACCCCTACACATAGAGTTTAGCTGTGTGTGTGTGTGTGTGTGTGTGTGTGTATGTTTTGGTACCAGGGATTGAACCCAGGGGTGCTCAATCACTGAGCCACATCCCCTGCCCCCTTTATTTTCTATTTTGAGATAGGGTCTCAATAAGTTGCTGAGGCTGGCCTCAAACCTGCAATCCTCCTGCCTCAGCCTTCTGAGTCACTGGGATTATAGCAAGCACCACCATGCTGGCTGTGTGTGTGTTTTATGAACAATGTCCTCACATCTCTAGTATACATTGTGATTTTTGTTAATGCCCAGCCTTGTGGAAAGTCCTTAAAAAATGCTTTGAGGACTTGTTGAATTACATTTCCATTTTCTTTCATTAGGAAGCCATGTCTGGCATTAAAAAAAAAAAAAGAAGGCAGTTTCATGGTTTCTAATGAAAGTATGATTTTGCTTCATTCTTATTTATTTATTTTTATGTTGGGGAAATAAAATCGTTTCCCCTAGTCCAATTTTTGCCTTTCAGGCTAGTGGTTTCCCTCTCTGTGGATCCCTAATAAAGAATAAAGCAAATTGAGAAGAAGAAAAGCCCGATCTTATGATAAAGCAGGCTTTGTGTTGATAAATCGATGATTGATGACCACAACCATTTCGATCCTTTCGGGTAAATGAATAACTGATTGTATCTGAGAACAGGAAACTCACAATTTATATCCTGGGTCTTCGGCTGTCTTCTCCCTTCCCCCTCCTGAGTTTGACCTAGCTGCTTGAAATCAATGCAGAAGACACCCAGGGGAAGAGGCAGGTTTGGGGAGACTGGAAGCTTAGGTAACAGGGGGGGCCCTCTTAAGAGAAAGAATACAAAAATATCTCACTTTCACAATATTGTACGAGAGCACATGACCCACAGGAACAGAGCGCTCAGGTTTGTCCTGGGCTGGGAAAGGCCCGGGGAGAGCCATCCCTGACATGTAAAGCTTGTTGGCTTCCCGCTAAGTCCATTTCTTAGGGTTCCATACCGTGGCTCATGTCCTGGGCACTCTGCATGCTTCAGTTTGCTGCTCTTGTACTGAACACAAGGAGTGTAAAGCGATGACTGTACAAACACTCAGCAGGAATATACAAGGATAAATATAAGAACACACTTTACACAGCAGGCTGGAAGTCCACAGACACGCACATAGGGTTGTTTTTTTCTCTTTTTGTTGAACTTGAGCATCTCTCAAGGTCATAGGTCTCCAGACTTTGAATTGTCTGCCTGCACTTGAGTGTTCACTTAAAGGGGGAGGTAATCAACGTATTAGTTATCTACCAGACAAGCCCATTCATTCGCTGTGCTGTGACTTGGGCTCAGGCCCATCGGACCTCTATCCTAGAAGCCAGGTGTGCGGGTGGGAGGAGGGAAAAGCAGGTGAGAAGGGAGTCCTTTGCCCGTTGGTGGAGCTTGCTTGTTTTGTTTTGGATTTTGTTTGGCCAGGCAGTTTAGATACTGGTTTGGAGGTCTCCGTTGAGGAGGGTCCTCTGGGTCTCCGTGGTCTCATTCAGCCGGGATTTGTCCTGCTTGCTGTCGCTCCGTTCCCCGTCATCTGTGCCACTCACCTTGACCAAGCAGAGGACGTTCTGGAAGCTCTTCTTGAAGTTGTCAGACAGGAAAGCATAGAGGATAGGGTTGGCACAGCTGTTGGCGTAGGTGAGGACCACCACAAAGTCAAACATGCCTTTGAGAGCCGGGGTGGGGTCGATGGCCACGGTCACGGAGGACACGTTGAATATGTAGAAGGGGAGCCAGCAGAAAATGAAGACGGCCACCACTATGGAGACCATTCGGGTGACCTTCTTCTCGGACTTTTTCCTCTTAGAGGAACCTACTCGGATGCCAGAGGACTTCACCTTGATGATAATGAACAGGTAGCAGAGACAAATGATGGTGAGGGGGACCAGGAACCCCAGGATGAATGCATAGATGATGAACCCCGTGTACCACGCCCCAGATTCACCTGGCCAGTTGATGGTGCAGCTGCTTTTCCCCCACTGGTTGCTCCGAAGCCCAGCATAGATCATGATAGGCAAGATGACCAGCAGAGAGACCCCCCACACAGCCACGTTGATCATCTTGGCTGTCCGGGGTCTCCTCCACTTGGCCGACTTGATGGGGTGGACCACAGCCAGGTAACGGTCGATGCTCATGACCGTCAAGCAGAAGATGCTGGTGAACTGGTTGATGCCGTCCACAGTCATGACCACCCGGCAGATGGCCTTGCCAAAGGGCCAGTGGACCAGCGCCACCTGCATGGCCAGGAAGGGCAGCCCCAGCATGAAGAGCTCATCGGCGATGGCCAGGTTGAGGATGTAGATGTTGGTGATGGTCTTCATCTTAGCGTAGCGGAGGATGACGTAAATGACAAGAGTGTTGCCACAGAGACCGATGATGCAGACCACGAAGTATATGAATGTGAGGACTGCATTGCTGGTCATGTCGTAGTATGGCTCTGTCTTGTTGGAGTTGTTCGCTGCCGTCGCAGAGCCATTGAGGTCAAAGGGGGAGGGCGGCCATGCCTGGCTCTCATTGAGTTGCTCGTACACCGTCTCCATGGCTGCTTTTCAGTCTAAGCCAAGAACCAATCTGCCCCCGATCTTACTCCCCACTCAGTGGGCCCTGGAGGCCAAGGGTCCACGGTGACATCTGGAAGGAAACAAGATGGGCCCAGCAGTCAGTCATCAGCTGTTGAAACCCCGGCCAGCTTTCCACATTTCTGGCTTATCCTCTTAGATGTACTCTTTTTTTTTTTTTTTTTTTTTTTTTTTTTTTTTTTAGAGTGAGAGAGGGAGGGAGAGAGAGAGAGAGAGAGAGAGAGAGAGAGAGAGAATTTTTTTTTAATATTTATTTTTTAGTTTTCGGCGGACACAACATCTTTGTTTGTATGTGGTGCTGAGGATCGAACCCGGGCCACACGCATGCCAGGCGAGCGCGCTACCGCTTGAGCCACATCCCCAGCCCCTTAGATGTACTCTTAAATGGGAAAAGGTGTTATCTTTCTGTGCCAGTGTCACAGCCACCAGCCCTGCGCAGACCTTGAGGTTTTTCCCAATAGTGGGGGAAGGGCAGGGCTAAGCCGTCATCTTTGATGACGCACTTCTAGGGGGTGCTGTGGCTTCCTCCCTGCCATACTTTGACCTCTAAGGAGTTGACTGTGCAGCTACAAGAAGGCAGAGAGTTCCAGCCCCCGAGCTCAGAGGGGCCTGGCACTGGCATCTAGAGCCCTTTCCCTTGAGGGAGTCCCTGTGGACTGCCGGCCGTGTGGGACTCTCTCTCTTCTGAAACCAACCCCGTGGTGGGAACCCCCAGACTTTGGCTCCCCTGTGGAGCCCATGGGACCTCATGCCCAGCCATCCCCTGCTGGGCTCCACTGGGTTGCTTAACATGCGAGTCATGAGGGAGGGCACGCAGAGCCTTGGCATCATGTGGAGCTCATGACGGGAACCTCAGAAGTGTTATCCCCCCCCCACCATCTCATTATGTCTAATTTATTGAATCCTGCCCACACAGTGAATCAATTTATAGTCTTCAATATTAAAAATAAAAGTCTGGCTTGCTTTCATTTTGTTTTTAAATGTGTGCTTCAGTTTTTCTTTTTCCATTTCTGTTTCTCTGACCCCAAATGCTTGACTCTCTTGTGTAGCAGAAAATACTTCCCTAATGTCCCTGAACTGGGTGCCACTCCAGAGTTCTAACAACACACAGATTTCAACTGCAGTCCCCTGATGGAGGACAAAAATGGGAGCCAGGCGAGGGCTGAGAGATACAGTCTCTTCATTGATGTGAACAGAAAATCACAAGCTCCGAGGTGGTTCATTCACACCCACATCCCCTTCATCTTCCCAGCCATGGCCGGAGGTGGGGATAATTGTCCCTGTTTTAAAGATGTGGAAACTGAGGCTTAGGGAGTTGAAGCGACTAGCTTTTATAATTGGTAGGGCTGGGATTTGAACACAGGCCTCCTGACCCCAAGACTTCCACTCTTTCTATAGCATCACATCTGCTGCTCAGTGGGCTGGCAAATGAGGGGCTGGTAATTGGGTTCGGGTTTGAAGCAACTGACTCCTGCATTACTACCTCCATGCTGAGAAAAATAACTCTAGCACTACTGGCTTGGCTTAGGGTATAGAACAATATGTGATCCCATAATGAAATGACTTATCTACAGTTGTTCAAAAAACATCACTGGCTGCTGGGTACAAAGACAGGGCAGGTGCCCTCTGGGAGGTGATCATTTATCAGGAGACGCAATGAAGCCGGTTGACACAGGGTGTGAACTGCTCGGAGCTAGGAACAAGGGACCTAGGAATGCCTTCCTTCCCTGGAGGATCAGAGGCGACTTCATAAGACAATTTTGGAGCCGGGGTCTTGAGTAGATGAAGAGGGAAGCAATAGAACAGGGCAGGAGGTGACTCCAAAAAGAAGCGAGATGGCCAGGGGTGGTATGCCCAGCACCACTTGGCCCCACTAGGCGAGCATGTTTCCTCTAAGTAGGGTGCTTTTCCTGGTGCCTGAAGATAGAGACCTTAAAGGAGATGTCACCAGCAACCAGTACTTGAGGGTCCTTGCCCACTTCTGATTCATTCTGTACTGCCAGGCGCCTTTCTTATTTTTTCTATGCTAATTTCCTCAATCACACACTGTCCATGGAGTGAGGCATGGCCTTCGTGGCTAATCTTTTTTGCACAGAATTTTGGGGACCCAGGATTTCATGTCTACATGGGGTAAAAATGCCAGCTGGCGGTTCTTAAACCCAGAAGCTATAAAGAAACTGTTTTAGTATCTCTGCATTTACTTGGATTGTTTGCACTATCGTTTCCAACCATCTCCTCAGTTACTCAATTCTACAGACCCAGAATCTTATCTGAATTACCCACAGTGGGAGTGTACATTAACCATCAGTCCTGCCAGGGTGGCATCTGGGTACCATGAATGGTCATCCTCCAATGCCAGGGTAAGACCAAAGACCCTGGGGACTACAAGAAGCTCTTTCTAGAGCTTTTGAGATGTTGCTGGTGCAGCAGGGGAGAGGGAGCCTCTCATGCCACACTCTAGCCCTAACTCCTTCCTTTCCTCTGCACCGGGGTCAGGTCCCCTCCCCTGAAATAGTTTGAGAAAGCCTATTTTGAAAGGTAGCCACTTTTGAAAGGTAGCTCAAGATGGGGTTGGAGCCTTGATGAAGGTGAGGGACATGGTAGGCTGGAGCCAGGAAGACGCTCCTGGGAAGAAATGGCTTAAATCATGGCAAATGTTTTTAACAAAGAAATCTGAGTGACTTCCGCTTCATGGTTGTCCCACAAAAAGTGGATTCCAAATGCCAATCCACCAATACCTGTTGGATTTTGGTTAAAATTAAATACGAGGAAGTTTGATTATCTGCTTTATTTTTCCAGCCTAAGAGTTTTTAGATACTGGAAATGCCCTGTTGTTGGTTTCCTCTGAGACCCAGCAGTTGGAGAGGAGGGTGAGACTGGCCTCTGGTGTCTGTCCAGGGGGGCTGCCCATTCCACCTCCAGAAATGAGACTTGTGATGGGGACCTGGCTGCAGTGGTGATCCTAAAACCCACTCTGCCCATCTTTGTGGCATCCCCCAGCCCCCTTTAGTCGTCACTCCCACCTCCCCCGGAGCCTGCTAACCTCAGTGGCAGAGAGACAACAGCCCAGCATCTAGTGCTAGAGCACCGAAGGAGAAGCCCTGGGGCGCTGACCAAAAGGGTTGGGCCTCAGGAGGTGAGTCCCAGGATCCTGGAGGAAAAAAAAAAAACCTCCGCTGATCAAGTCGCTGACCCTCCGGAGCAATGGTTTCCTACAGGATTCCCTAACATTTCTAGGGAGACAAAAGGGCAGCGAAGACTGAGTACCAATTTGTCCAGCCTTTAAACCCAGAGGTGGGCTATAGTGCCAGGGACAGCTGGGAGTCCTGACAGTGGCTTGGGGATTTGGCCATGCCAGCGTTAGCTCTCTTCAGTCTCTGCCTGAGGGCCTGGGCTGGACCCCCTACAAGTACGGGTCCACTTCCCCAGCCAGCGAAGAAAAAGAGGAGAGAATCCCCTTTCCTCCGCTGAGTGCTCCAATCGCCTGCCCCTCCCGAGCTCAAATCTCGGGATCTCTAATGCGTCCTCAGGAGCCCCAGGGTGGCACCCGAGCCCCGCTGGCCTCGCTCTCTTGCGCCAAGGCTCTTTTGCGGGTGGCTAGGAGATAACTTGTTCCCCGCATCTCAGCTACCACCAGGACAAGGCTGCAAGGCACACGCCAGGCGCACACGGGCAGGGGCTATCCAGACCAGTCCGTTCCAGCTCACACGATAGCTCCCCCTACTCACGCCAGGACACCTGCTGTCGTTCATTTCCACCACACTCACCCCTAGCGAGCACCGGGCGGAGAATCCTGCACCCGAACCTGCGCTCGGTCGCGCGGATGGGCGCACTGTCACCAGCGCTGATGCACACAGGTGCCAGAGTGCGCTTCTTGCTCCTACATCTCCATGTATGTGTCTCTGTGTGTCACACACACACACACAAGCACACACGGGCACGCACACAACCTCACCTTGCTTTTTCGCGGTAATCCGTTAAGTGGGCTCACCAGCCCTCAGTAACTGTTCCCTATCCAGCACGGCGCCCAGGAGCGCAGCTCTTGGCGGGTGGCTGGCGCTCGGCGTCCAGTGCTTCCGGCCCTTCCGCCTCCCTTGAGCTGGCTGGTGTTTGCCCCTTTCACGTCCCACAGCCAGTCTGGCCCGCTGTCCGCCCGCGCCGAGTCGCGGACTGGCGCTCTGCGGGCGGGTGGCCTTGGGAGCGCGCGCGCGCGCGCGCTGGTGGCTGCGCCGCTTGGACTGGCCCAGCTGGGCAGGAGCCCCTCGGCACATTTCCCCACGCCCCCCCTCTGATTACGTCACTGCAGCTTAGCTCCGCCTGCCGGGTCCTGTAGGAGGACCTGGGTGAGACAAGTGGAGAATCCTGCGGGTGGCTGCGGGCAGAGCTGGCGGGTACGGTTGGGGTCGGGGGTGGGGTGGAGAGGGGACCCGCATGCAGGGGCGTGAAGGGTGAAGCGGTTTGTCTCTTCAAGACTCATGGCAGGGACAAGTATGGCTTTCCTCCAGTTTCATAGGATTGATTCTGTATCACCCAAAATATTCCAGGCAGCTGGCGTGGCGTCCCGGGTGACCCAGACTCCCTCAGGGATCTCTGCAATTTTCTAAGTCACACAAGTTTGCAAAGTGGTGTCTACCATGGGCAAGCCCTGGGCATAGGATGCACAGGAAAGGGTAGAGAGAAAAAGCTGCCTGCTGAGCTGCACCTGGATTCCGAGATTCGCTCAGCTCAAGGAGCCATCAGAGGCTCAAGGAGCCATCAGAGGCTCAGTGGGATGGAATGATCCAGGTTCCACAGCTCAGAGATCCAAGAGCTCTACAGCCCCCTTGCTTTAGCCTGTCAGTCAGCACTAGCCCATAGGACATGGCAGCCCCTCTTCCTACGTGCTGTGCAGGGAGCAAAGAGGACCGGGCAAGAAGAAGTGGGAGTTGTGTCGCATCAAGTTGCAGCTATTTATTTTTTGACTGTGATGATTCAGCCTGTGTTCCAATAGTTTAATAAGTCATAATCAATCCACAGCCTCTCTTTACTCACCGTCCTCCAAGCACACACACACACACACACACACACACACACCACTCAGTACAGTTTAGAGGATAGGAAGTCAGAAAGCAAACCCCAGTTAGGGCTCTCTGTGGGCGGAGCTGCCTTGGTCTGTCCATCCTATTTTCCAGCTCACCAATGAAAGGCAAAGTCCAGAAGCTATTTAACAGGTGAGATGAGCCCTGAAGAAAGGAATGAGCCATGGGAAAGGAATCAGTAGCAGCTCACTGCTTGGAAGGATGGAGTCAGGGGCTTCTAGTCTTCATCTGTCTCTGGGCTGCTGGTCATCCTGGAGCTAGGGGCTGGAGGAAAACAGCCAGGGACTGTCTGCTCTCCCAGCCTCCCTGGGAGTCAGTCTGCCTGTAGATTTGTGTGTGCGTACAAGAGGGGCAGGGGCAGGCAACTCACCAGAAGAGGGGAGTGTCCCTGCTCCCTGTCCACTGGAAGAGGGAGAGGCCATGGAATTGAGCTCAGAGAAACTGCATCCCGTGGCAGCCCAGTTGTGATAATGCCTGTTCCCACCTCTAGCTTAAAACCCATACCCGCCCTGGTTTCCAGGGAAAGAGGGGGCGAAGGGAGCCAGGAAGTACCCACTCTGCCTTCAAATTTCCTTAACTTTTATCCTGTAAAAGTTCTCCAACGGTCTTTGGAAAATTCATGTATCATTTGAAAAGAATAAACATCATTTTCAACCCACAAAGAAATGAACAGCTGGCTCGAAGTGCCTCCTCCCCCGTCGAGGTGACCCCTATGACAATGCGTGGTTTGGAGATTATTTGTTTTTAAATAACCACCATCCAAAATAGGTGGCTCCTGAAGGGTCAGCTCAATAGGCACCCCCTCTTGAGACAACTGGGGTGCCTCTGTGTGTTCCCATGGAACCCCCCCCATGCACTTTCCTTGGGAAGTTATCCGCCCCCCCCCCTTCCCCTGTCCTGCATAGGTTATGTTGGGCAGGCACAGCCTGGAACAAGTCCTGGCCCTGTGGGTCTTTCCTGCAGCTGGCCCAGTGGGATCTGAACAGATTGACCCCAACCACAGAAAATGTGTCATCTAGAACAACTGTTGATTTTTAGCGGGATCATTGATGCTTCCCTGCCCCCACTTGCCAATGCCTGGAGAGAGCTGTGTGACTGAGCTGCCCCCTGTCCTCTGTGGCGACCTCAAATTCCTATTCCCTGTTTGATTCCTCCTGGCTGGCCACCCCCACACACTCCTGAGGGCAAAGAGAAGTCCAGCTCTCCTTCCTCTGAGGCTCTGTTAGTAACTAAGTAACAAAGGCTTGAGTCAGAAAAATAGAGGGGTTGGGGAGGAGATAACCTCCACTCTGGCTTGTTCCCTATCTTTAAAGCAATTAAATAACACCTTTCCCCCTTTCAGCACTTATCAGAGGGACAATAGGTGGCAGGAAATTAAGAACAGGGTAGGACAAAGGGCCAGGCCAGTGCTCTAACACGGGGAGATATGCTCATCTCACTCTTGCCTTGAGAAGATTCTCAGCTAAGGCACTGAACTCCCAAGAAAGTCATTGCTTCTCTTAACTGCTTAATAAATTAAATGTAGAAAATTGTTACCTTGCAATCAATTTGGTGGAAGTAAATATCGAAATTAAACCTACAGGAAAGCAAGCGGCCCAGGAGGAGAGTTGGATATGGCTGGGAGTGTTAGATGCCAGCGAGCAGTCGGTGTGGTTTTATTGCTTCCTCGGATGCCCAGGTGGGCCTCTGCATTTCTACCTTGGGAAGAGACCAACCTCCTGCTGTGCACAGTGCTGGGTGGGGGGGGGTGTGGATGCTCAGAGGGAGGGGAGGTTCTTGAATGATGGTCCTATTTCCAGGCTCCCTGGAATATTCCTGTTTTCAACCATTCTGTCCCTTGTCCCCTGCACACCATCTGCATCTTACCAGAACCGAAAGGTCAGCTTCCACATTCTCTTTCCAAGACTGCCTTGTATCTGATGGCATGAAAAATCCTTTCTGCTCTCGTGGGTCTTGATGCCTGTCTAAAAATGGGGCCTAGTGGGTAAAAGGTCTCTTCCAGCACACAAGGGGGTAACCTGGGACCTTTCCAGAGTGTGTTTCCTGGCACGTTCGTTCTGCGAGAGCAGATGGGTCTGGGGGGAGGCTGCCTGCCGCTCCCTGACTTGTTAGGACTACCTGGAGGAATCAAGGGACCATTATGCACATGAGGTGATGAGGTGCAGGCTATTATCTCACCTAACCCCTCCTCCTGTGTGGGACAGATCGTCAGCATTGTTAGTATTGTCATTGTGAGAAGTCTTGCCATAGAGAAAACTGTTGATCTTCAACCCAGTCTTTCAGAATTCATCTAGCCCTAGGAACCTTTCCTGTAAACTATTTTCCCCTATGTTTATTCATTGGTGCATTAGAGTTGTACATATTGATGGGATTTGTTGTTACACATTCCTGCGTGCACACCATATAACAACACAGTTTGGCCACAATCGCTCCCCAGCTCATCTCCCCTCCCTGCCTCCCCCCCACCTCTTGGTCCCTTTCCTCTGCTGGTTTCTCTTTGATTTTCATGAGATGCCCCCCACCTTTTCCTCTTTCCCCCTCTAGCTCCCACATAGGAGAGAAAACACAGGACCCTTGACCTCCTAGTTTGCCTTGTTTCCCTTACTTAATGCTCTCAAGTTCCATCCGTTTTCCTGCAAATGGCATGATTTTATTTTTCTTTATGGCTGAATAAATCTCCATTGTGTGTATATACCACATTTTCTATATCCGTTAACGGACACCTGGGCTAGTTCCTCAGTGTGCCTTTCGTGAGTTATGCTGCTATAAACATGGGTGTGTAGGTCAGACGACCTTATTTCTGTAGGATAAATCCCGAGGAGTGGTACAGCTGGGTCATATGGTGGCTCCATGCCTGGTCTTTTGAGACACCTTCATACTATTTCCATTGTGACTGTACCAGTTTACAGTCCCGCCGACAGTGTAGAAGGGCTCCTTTCTCTCCACATCCTCTCCAACCCTCACTATTATTGGTGTTCTCGACGGCTGCTGTTCTGACTGGAGTGAGATGAATCTCAATGTCGTTTTGATTTGCATCTTCCTAATTGCTAGTGATGTTTAATATATTTTCAAGTCTTTGTTGGCCATTTGTATTTCTTCTTTTGAGAAGGGTCTGTTTGTTTTTTTGACCATTTATTAATTGGGTTATTTGACTTTTTAGTGTAAAGTTTTTGGAGCTCTTTATGTATTCTAGATAATAATCCTCTGTCAGAAGAGTAGCTAGCAAAATTCACCCTGTAGGTTTTCTCTTCACGATCTTTATTGTTTCTTTGTTGTGCAGAAGCTTTTTAATTGGATGCTGTCCCGTTTATTAACTCTTGGCATTATCTCCTGAGCTTTAGGACTCCTATGGAGAAAGTTGTTGGCTGTCCCTAGAAGCTGGGGTGCTGACCCTACATTTTCTTTAAGGAATTGTGTAGTTTCTGCTCTAATTCTAGGATCTTTGATCCATTTTGAGTTGAATTTTGTGCAGGGTAAGAGATAAGAGTCTAGCTTCATTCTTCTACATATGGATAATCAGTTTTTCCTGCACTGTTTGTTAAAAAGCCTGTCTTTCTCCAATTACATTTTTGGCAGCTTTGTTAAGGATCAGATGACTGTGTGTGGGGGGGGTTGTCTCTGTGTCTTCTGTTCTGTCCTGTTGGTCTCTGTGCCTGTTTTTATGTCAGTACCATGCAGTTTTGGTTACTATAACTCTGTAGAATATTTGAGGTCAGGTTTTATGGTGCCTCCAGGATTGCTTTTTTGGCTTAAAATTGTTTTGGCTATTTTGGGTATTTTATTCTCCCAAATGAATTTTAGGACTGTTTTTTTCTAATGCTTTGAAGAATGTCATTGTTATTTTGATGGTGATTGCATTGAATCTATAAATTGCTTTTAGTAATATGGCCATTTTAACCATATTAATTCTGCCTATCTATGAACATGGGAAGTCTTTCCATTTTCTGAGGTCTTGTGAACTAATTTTTAATACCAATCGAGTGTTTCCTTGTGGTGGGCACTGTACTAGTTATTTTATATTAACTCATTTGCTCCTCACTGCAATCCTATGAAACACCCTTGACATAATTAACATACTTTTGTGGATGAAGCATCCACTGCACAGAGAGGTTAAGTACCATGCCTAAGACCACACAGCCTAAGTC